GGCAGCTGGCTGTCCTGGGCACCTGCTGCAGCAGGCGCCGCCTGGCCTTCCTGTCCCTCGGGTGAGGAGACTCACTCATCCCCGTCCAGGTGCTGGCCCTGGTGGCAGGGACCCGTGTGGCCTGCATCTTAATTCCCGGCGAGGGTGGTTAGATTGGGGGGACACAGCTGGCTCAGCACACAGGGCCTGTCCTCATCGTCCGCATGCCCGAGGGCCTCAGCCTCAGGCTCCCGACTGACCGGGGCCTCCGAGCTAGGGAGGCTGGAGCGGCCCCCCGGCCCTTCCCAGGACTCACGGTGCTGTGCTGTGCCGTCCCTTGCCGGCTGAAGTGCCGCTCCACGTACTCGGAGGACAGGAGGTGACTGGACAGCAGAAGGCACCGTCACCAAGAGGCTGGGCCAGGCCCTGCCCTGTGCCAACCTGCCCAGGGGGCCACACTTACTGGTTCAGCTCCAGGTCCAGGGTGAAGTTGGAGTTGAAGGCTGGGATGACAAAGCTCACTCGGGCCAGGTGGGCAGGCTGGCACGAGGGCAGAGAGGAGTCAGGCTGAGTGGGCTGGGCAGGACTCAGCCCCGGGCAGCAGGGACCTGGAAGCCACTACCACAAAGCCTCTTGCTCCCGGAGGATGGAGGTGCAGCTCCCCTCCAACCTGCACCCCCTGGCCCGGGGCACCTGCCACCCCCCCATCTTCCAGCCAGGGCCTGGACTGGTCTCTGGGTGAGGAGACTGAGAGCAGGACCCTGCAGGATCACAGGAAGCGAGAGGGGACCTGTCGGATAGCTGTGGTGGGGTGGGGCTGACCTGGGCCCCGTGCTAGGCAGGAATCATGCCATCCAGTCAGGAGGAAAGGACTTGGCTCCTCTACCCCCAAATCCATTGCCCTCCACCTTGCCCAAAGCAGCTCATCTTTAATATTTCAATCTGCAGTTAATTTTTAAACACAGAAGTTTTCCTGATGAATTTTTCAGAGGGGCCTAGTCAATGGGACTGGAGGCTCCTGGTTGCCATGGTGACACACCCATGAGATGGCCCATCCCAGGCCTGGGCACCAGCTCTGGGAGGCGGGGACCTCAGAGGCCCCAAAGGGAAGGCTGTGTGAGGGGGTGATACCCACCCAGGAATAAGAGCAGCACCTCAAGCTTGAGCGTGGATGCACAGGGAGGACCTGGAGGACCCCAGGCCCCTCCGCCAAGGCCAGGGCCTGAGGCATCTAATCCTGGCCTGGTGTCATGGTGGGGAGAAGGTGTCAGACAGGATGTCCCATAACCCCTAACTTGCTGCCTGTCCCTGCAAGTACTCATGGACCAGGCTTAAACTGGGAACAAGGCCCCAGTCATTCCCACCTGACTGCAAGGAGGTGACCACTTTGCCCAAGGTCACACCGGGAGTGGAGGAGCCCAGGCCCAGGCCCCCACCCACATGGCGGAGCAGGGCAGAGGTCAGCTGGGTCCCTGGAGAGAGGGCACCAAGGGGGCAGACTCAGCCAAGGACAAGCCTCACCCCGCCCTGGGCTGGCCAGAGCACCAAGCTCCTCTGGGGCCCTGAGAGAATTGATCACACTACAAACAGCCTAGAGCGGGTTTTCCTGGGTCCTCTCCCAGCCCTGGCCAGGCTGGCTTAGTCCTTGCCCTGGAGCACAGGCTGCCTGTAGCCTGGGGTACAGCCGGCCATAACTGGAGGAGAAGCAGCCTGCCCAGGACCCAGGGAGACCCGGCCACTGCCTGAGCCTTGAGTTTTCCCTGAAAGGTAAGAGGTACTCACAAGTCTGCCTCCCTGAGCAGGCAGCAGGCTGAAACATCTGGCCTCCACCCTCTGTGCAGGCCAGGGAGACGCACCCAGGGAAGCCCAGGCTGATGGGGAAGTTTCCTGCAGAGCTGCATGCCCAGATTTTTTTACTTTTTTGGTTTTGTTTTGTATTTTTGAGACAGGGTCTCATGTAGTTGAGACTGACCTGGAACTCACTATGTAGCCCAGGCTGGTCTCGAACTCACAGCGATCCTCCTGCCTCAGCCTCCTGAGTGCTGGGATTATAGGAGTGTGCCACCATGCCCAGCTAGATTTTTTTACTTTTTGAGGCAGAGTCTGGCTAAGTCACTGAGTTGCCCAGATTGTGCTGAAACTTGGGATCCTCCTGCCTCAGCCTCCCAAGAGCTGGGATAACAGGTATGCAGGGGCCTCTTGTGTCCTGGGCCTATAAGGCTAAAGCCCCTGTACTGCCGGGGCTGGGCTTGATGGGAGGCAGCCAGGAGGGCTCAGGGCCATCTGATGGCATTGGAGGAAGCGGGAAGAACTAGATGGCACCAGGGCAGCCTGGTCCCTGGGGAGGAGCTGGGTCACCCTGAGTCCCAGCGCATGGCAGCTCAGTGCCCTTCTGGGTGCCCTCCTTGCCGGGCCTTGCCCTGCCGCTGGCCTCCAGCCCCAACTGTGGACACAGCTGGGCTGTACCCCGTGCTCTGCCCTTGCCCTGCTGCCACCGCTCTCACGTGCCAGCCGCCTGGTCACAGCCTGCCTGGCCATGGGGCCCTCACTTTGAGTCCAGGCCAGGTGTGGCTGGGAAGGGCCCCTCACCCTCCGAGACACAGGGTTGGGAGGAGGAGGAGGCCCAGGACCCGGCCTGGGAGGGGACTACAGATGGCTAGGATGCGACCATTCCGATGCCATCCCCCATCTCCACATTCACCCCAAACCCTGCAGCTGCCCATCACGGGCTCAGCCCAGGGGCCCCTGGAGCCTTGAAGCATTGGCTTTTCTTGCTTTGTCAGGTACTGGGAGTCAAACCTAGGCATACTCCACTGCCACATACATCGCCAATCGCCAGCTTGCTTTTTTTTTTTTTTCCTCCTTTCCAGTATTGGGGATTGAACTCAAGATCTTGCACTTGTGAGCTAGCTAAATCCCTGACCCTCCAGCTTGCTTTTGTTTTTGTTTTTGTTTTTGTTTTTGTTTTTTTGAGACAGGGTCTCACTATGTAGTTGAGATTGACCTGGAACTCACTATGTAGTCCAGGCTGGTCTCGAACTCAGTGATCCTCCTGCCTCAGCCTCCTCAGTGATGGGATTACTGGTGTACCATGCCCGGCTCCAGCTCACTTTTAAAAGTTTGGACAGGATGTGGTTAAATTGCCCAGACTGAGCTTGAACTTGAGATCCTCCTGCTTCAGCCTAGGGAGTAGCTCAAATATAGGTGTGCACTACTTTGCCCATGACCTCGAGTCTCCCTGGAGCAGGGTCCACACCTGCTTTTCTCCTGCCAGGGGCTAAACACTCAGTGGGGTGAAAGGAGGACAGCCTCAGCTCCTCCTCAGTGGAATGGGGGTGTGCGAGGGCACAGCCTTGGTCAGCACACCGTTCTTGTGGACCAGGGAACACGAGAGCCCGAGACAGCGCCCACCACGTCCTGGCCAGATTGGGTGGTGAAGCCCCAGGGCTCTCCTGTGCCAGGGATGCCAGAACGGTGACTTTGTTGGACCTAGGAGGGCTGAGCAGTCTCCTCCAGGTGTTCTGGGGGGAGAGGGACACCAGCACCTCTCAGAACCTCAGGGGGCTGCTGCTATGCAGGACGACCGAGGGGTCCCCAGCAAGGTGCAGTGTCCTGTTTACCACAGCTTGAGACAGGTGGACAGTTCTCCAGGGTGCGATGTGACCTACATCTGGAGGACAGTCACCTCATGGGGTCGCCGTCCCTCTGGGGACAGATGCTGGCAGCTGGGCTCCTCCAGGCAGCCAGCGGGGAGCAGGGAGGGCCGAAGTGAGGGCCTTGCAGGGTTCCTCCCTGAGCCGCAAATGACACACAGCAGGCAGGACCCGCACGGGCCGCCTGCCCCAGGGCACTGCAGGAAGCCTTTCTGACCTCGGTGCCTGGCCACCCCAGAGCAAGCTGGCCCTGGCTATAGCCACTGACTCTCAGGAGCACCGGCCCCAGGCTGGAGCCGAGACACAATGAGGCCTTGGCTCCACGTGGCCTTGGGCTTGCTGCCCACCTTGCCAAGTTGGACTAAGCCACACCTAGCCATGCCCACTCAGCCCCTCCCCAGCGGGCTGCCTCACGCTCCCCACATCCTGCCCACTCCTCGGTCCACGGGCAGCTCCACATGAGCCGGGAAAGGTGACCCTCGGGCCTGGCCTGGCCCTCTTGCCTGCAGAGGCCCTTTCTGCTGGTGGCAGCAGGCAGTGGCTCTACACCGCACCGCGCCTGGCTTCCTGCATCCTGCTCGCCACAACTCCACCCCACCAGCTCCCGGAGGGGACAGAGGGAAGGCTGGGGCTGGGGGAAGGACACACAGGTCCCGCATCCCTCCTCTCTGTAACTCTGGCCCTATATGCGGCTGAGAACCAGGTGCGGCCTGGGGTCTCCCTGGCCAGTGGGACGGGGCCTCAGCTCTTGGATTCACACCCAGAAGTGCAGACGAGTGCCCACCAGTGAGGGCCCGAGAGGCGGACATCCACTTCCCACTCCCGCTCCTCCTCCCATCCCCACCCTCTGGGATGTGGGCTGTTGTCCTGGGCTTGGGGCAGAAGATGGGGGGGGTCCACTGGCTGGCCTGCACGTGTCCCAGGTCTCGCTGTTGACCCCACACCTGCTGGGCCGGGCTGCAGGCTCTGCCACCAGCCTGCTGGGAGACACTGGCCCTGTCTCTTGTGTCCTGGCTTCCTCTGTCCTGGCTTGTAGGCTGGGAAGCGCCCTGGGTCCCAAACTCAGTCGCCCAGAAGCCGAGCAGCGCAGTGGCCTCAGTGGCTAGCTTTTGGCTGAGACCTGACTGCTGGGAGAGGTACTTCACCTCTTGGGCCCGGGTTCCCCTGGTTCGCAAGCTACAAGATTCAGCACAGTGCCCTGCCCAGAGAGCCCACAACCCTCTCCTTCACTAGGCAGGGGAAACCGAGGCACATGTAGACAGGGCCCTCAGCGAGTCCCCAGCTGGCAGGGTGTCCAGTCCCACACACCCATCCTGACCTCCACCCACAGGATCCCTCCCTTCAGAAAGGAGCAGTCTGCCCTGCTGAACCCCACTTTTAGTCCTGCCCTGGGGCGCCACCCTTCCCCCAGTCTGGGCACCGGCAGCCAGGCAGAGCCATCCAGTCCTTGCCAAGGCCCCGGCGGGTGCAGAGTTCACAAAGCATTGGACACTACTCATTGCTCGTCCCGCCTGCCAGGCGCCCAGCCTGCCTGGAGCTGGCCTCTGCCCCCACCCTGCCCAGCGCTGGGACCATCAGCACTCTTGGCGGGCGGGCGGTGGAGAGAGAGGTTCCATCCATTATGCATGTTCCTTCCTGCCCGCGCCTGCCGCCGGCCCGCCCCCTCCTCCTGGACTGCTCTTAACCAAGTGCATTAGGCAGGGCCAGATGCCAGTCAGACAGATGTCGGTAACGTCAGCCCCCCCATTCTGCTGCTCCCAGCCGATCTCCTCCCACCACTCCCAGCTGCCAGGACTTCCCAGACCCCTGCCCGGGCTCCTTGACACCTGCCTCCGGGCCAGGCCTCTGACCCCAGCCCCAGCGGCCCCAGGGCCCTGGCTAACTCTC